CTAAATATTTGACAATTTCCAATGAACCATGTTCAGCAGCATAGTGAAGCGCTGTCTTGTCTTCCTCATCTTTTGCATTAATATCACCACCATGTTCAACTAAATATTTGACAATTTCCAATGAACCATGTTCAGCAGCATAGTGAAGCGCTGTCTTGTCTTCATCATCTTTTGCATTAATATCACCACCATGTTCAACTAAATATTTGACAATTTCCAATGAACCATGTTCAGCAGCATAGTGAAGCGCTGTCTTGTCTTCCTCATCTTTTGCATTAATATCACCACCATGTTCAGCTAAATATTTGACAATCTCCAATGAACCACGTTCAGTAGCACAGTGAAGCGCTGTCTTTTTCTCCCAAGATTTTTCATCAACATCAGCGCCGAATTCAATCGACAGTTTTACCTGCTGAAAACGGCCTGATTTAGCTGCATCCAGACGTGATTCTCTATAAAACAAATAATCACGTATCTATTTTATTGACGGGAGTATTTACTAGAAAATATAAAGTGGCAGTTTTTTACAACTCCATGGAATGGATTATAATTTTTTTTCGCGTTCATGCAATGCTCAATGAAAATTGTACTCTTCAAGTAAAACTGGTGGACGAATGAAATGTTCAATTAACATTTATACTCGTCCAATGGATATAATAAACTAACTAAATCTCCAATAGAATATTCACTTATTCATTAATCCAATCGACAAATTAAATTTTGCAAAATAAAATTCTATACGCGTTTCCATTTAAAAACAAAGTCAAAGTGTAAGACTTCGCTGCGAGACAGGCGTTCTGAGGGGGTTCTAAATCTATATAGAGCCGTGAAGTATAAGCTGGCAAATATTACCGCTATCATAAATTAAGATCGTCCAAACTAAACCGTTAACCCCTGAACAAACTAGCTGTCAGTGCATGGTTGCCGGGCGAGTTTTCAGACGCATGCATGCATCAAAACTTTATGGAACAAACGGGACAGTGGAGGTTTTCGTACGGTCTAAATTCGTCCGATAATTGCAGGTTTAAACAAAGTCACGTTGCTTATCCAAACCGTTTATCCTAGTTATAGACCTAATCATGCAGGAACAGTTATACAAAAAATGCAACTAAAGAGGCCCTCTGGCAGGAATTGAACCGGCGATTCCGGTCTATAGCAAATGTATAAAATTCACACTCGACATTTCCATATACAAAATCTATCTAGACAATTCCCATATCATATACCACTGATTTTAAAACGAGGCAAGAAGATGCAAATAAATCATCACAGCTACAGAAAGAGCCGGTAAATTGCTAAAATGAGTAAAATCGCAAAGTTTGGTTGTGAAATGTTGTAGAACAAGACGCTCTACGGA